AAAATCATGCACATGATGCATATATAATGCTGCTTCACAGTTTAGACAAAAATAGTTAGCTCATGCATTTACATTCCTGCATTCATCAACGCAAGCAACACAACGTAGAGCTAATTTACAGAACATCACCTTGCATTTCATGCAGGGCTTTGCACAACACACCTGCTGGGTGTGTACACACTACAAAGGTGTCTAGATTCCACCAATAGATCATGCTGGGAGGGAACACACTACAGAGGTGTATACTTGTTCGTGGCGTGTTTATAAGGTTAGTAAATCAACCCCTTTGTATGGCTAAAACAATGTATAATTTGTTCATATATATCTATCTATCTAGATAGATAGATAGATAGATAGATAGATAGATAGATATAAATAAAATAAGGGAAGGGTTTAGAAAGAGATAATTGGACAGCGCTGACACCATTCAAATGATAAATATGCTGTGTGTCATCATTCAACAACAGGACTTAGGACACTATATACATATAATGTCCTAAGTCCTGTTGTTGAATGATGATATATATAATGTCCTAAGTCCTGTTGTTGAATGATGACACACAGCATGTTTATCATTTGAATGGTGTCAGCGCTGTCCAATTATCTCTTTTTAAACCCTTCCCCTATTTTTTTTTATAGAATATTTATTTATGTATTTATTTGTTTATTTTCATTTACTGTAAAAAATAAGTAAAGGCAACTGGGCTTGCTGTATTTTTTTTTTCTTGAAGACCTTTCACTGGACATCCGACCAGCTTTCTCAATTCAGGTTCCACTCATGACATATATCACATTAACAAAGTCATTTTATACATAAAAGACCACCAACCCATCTTTATATTTCATTCTTCTAGCAAGTATTAACTTCTAGTTTCCTTATATCTACTCATCAAATCACACATCCTTATATCCCTCCAGACTCGAACATTGATAGTTCTTGTGTTCGGTATATACATATACAGTATCTCACCGAACTGAGTACACCCCTAACATTTTTGTGGATATTTTATTATATCATTTCATGTGATGACACAGAAGAAATTACACTTTGCTACAATGTAAAGTAGTGAGTGTACAGCTTGTATATCAGTGTACATTTGCTGTCCCCTCAAAATAACTCAAGACACAGCCATTAATGTCTAAACCACTGGCAATAAAAGTGAAAACCTCTAAGTGAAAATGTTCAAATTGGGCTCAAAGTGCCAATATTTTGTGTGGCCAACCATTATTTTCCAGCACTGCCTTAACCCTCTTGGGCATGGAGTTCACCAGAGCTTCCAGGTTGCCACTGGAGTCCTCTTTCACTCATCCATGACAACATCATGGAGCTGGTGGATGTTAGAGACCTTGCGCTCCTCCACCTTCCATTTGAGGATGCCCCACAGATGCTCAATAGGGTTTAGGTCTGGAGACATACTTGGCCAGTTCATAACCTTTACCCTCAGGTTCTGAGGCAAGGCAGTGGTCATCTTGGAGGTGTGTTTGGGGTTGTTATCATGTTGGAATACTGCCCTGCAGCCCAGTCTCCGAAGGGAGGGGATCATGCTCTGCTTCAGTATGTCACAGTTCATGTTTGCATACATGGTTCCCTCAATGAACTGTAGCTCCCCAGGGCCGGCAACACTCATGCAGACCCGGCCATCACACTCCCACCACCATGCTTGACTGTAGGCAAGAAACACTTGTCTTTGTACTCCTCATCTGGTTGCCACCACACACGCTTGGCACCATCTGAACCAAATAAGTTTATCTTGGTCTCATCAGACCACAGGACATGGTTCCAGTAATCCATGTCCTTAGTCTACTCATCTTCAGCAAACTGTTTGCAGGCTTTCGTGTGCATCATCTTTAGAAGAGGCTTCCTTCTGGGACGACAGCCATGCAGAACAATTTGATGCAGTGTGCGGCGCATGGTCTGAGCACTGACAGGCTGACCCCCCACCCCTTCAACCTCTGCAGCAAAGCTGGCAGCACTCATACGTCACCCAAAGACAACCTCTGGTTATGACGCTGAGCAAGTGCACTCAACTTCTTTGGTTGACTATGGCGAGGCCTGTTCTGAGAGGAACCTGTCCTGTTAAACCCCTGTATGGTCTTGGCCACCATGCTACAGCTCAGTTTCAGGGTCTTAACAATCTTCTTATAGCCTAGGCCATCTTTATGTAGAGCAACAATTCTTTTTTTCAGATCCTCAGAGTTCTTTGCCATGAGGTGCCATGTTGAACTTCCTGTGACTAGTATGAGAGCGATAACACCAAATTTAACACACCTACTCCCAATTCACACCTGAGACCTTGTAACACTAACGAGTCACATGACACCGTGGAGTGATTTTTAAACATTTACGCTGTAAATTTGTTCTGTGTATTAATAACTTATTTGTATTAATTGCCTGTTTGTTCCTCTTCCCTTACAGCTTATATTGAAGATGTGGCAAGATGTGTGGACCAAAGTAAAAGGCTAATAATTGTTATGACTCCCACATATGTAGTAAGAAGAGGATGGAGTATATTTGAGCTAGAGACCAGACTTCGGAACATGTTGATCACCGGGGAAATAAAAGTCATATTGATTGAGTGCAGTGAATTACGTGGGATTATGAATTACCAGGAGGTGGAAACTCTTAAACACACGATTAAGCTTCTAACCGTTATCAAATGGCATGGGCCGAAATGCAACAAGTTGAATTCAAAATTCTGGAAACGTTTACAATATGAAATGCCTTTTAAAAGAATAGAACCCATCACACATGAGCAGGTTTTAGATGTCAGTGAGCAGGGACCTTTTGGGGAACTGCAGACAGTCTCAGCAATCTCCATGGCTGCTGCCACTTCCACTGCCCTGGCCACTGCCCATCCTGACATCCGTTCTACCTTTCATAATACTTACCATACTCAAATGCGGCAGAAACACTATTATAGAAGCTATGAATATGATGTACCTCCAACTGGCACCCTGCCTTTTATCTCAATAGGTAATCAGCATACTTATTGCAACATACCTATGACACTTATCAATGGACAGCGGCCACAAACAAAAACAAACAGGGAGCAGCACCCAGATGAAGCCCATACAAACAGTGCTATCTTGCCACTTTTGCCAAGGGAGACAAGTATATCCAGTGTCATCTGGTGACAGAAATGGTAGGGGCACAGCAGCCCCACCCCCACCATCACACAGTTGGAAGTCATGCAGTCTGGTGCCTGGAACTTCATCCTCGACTGCTGCTGTTAAACATGCATTACAATCGTTAATATCTGAGGAAAAACAGGGTCTTGTACATATTTTTGCAATTTATTTGTAGCATCAGTGTCTTCCTGTTTTACCCATGTCTCTTGCCATTACATTTTTGACTTTGTTTTATATGTCAATGAAATTTGTCTAGTTACATTTTTTATGAATAGACTGATGTATAGATAGGACGTGTTCTCTTTTACTTCTCCTTAAGTATAGTTTTAGATTTTTTTTTATTTAATCTTTTTTTGGAATGCGTGAACCAGCCACTGGATAAGGATCAACATTATTTTGTTGGCTTTATTAGTATTTTACATTCATGATGCTCAGCCTTCAGCATCAAAAGAAAGAAGTATGCAAGATTCCAATGACTCTTATTTTTTTAAGATAACTAGCAGAGCTCACTTTCGATTCCTTCTGCCCACCTACCTGATGGCAGCATGCTTGGTTACAATTCAAGATGGTCTGATTGTTTATCTTTGAACTAACTTAAATGTCTATCATTCAACAATATTCCTGGTCTGTATTTATTGCTTTGCAGTAACATAGATCCTAGAGAGCAGTTTTAATGGAAACATTTTCTATCAAAAGTTTTTTTTCTTTATTTTATCTTTCTTTTTTAAGTACCATTTTCTTTTTTTTAGATTTTGTGAAGGGGGTGAATGGGGGATCACATATTGTTTATATTTTATTGTTACCTTTTTCTCTACTTTAAAATACCACTTGAAAAGCTACAGTGCTCGAGTCAGAGAAAAAATATACATGCATTGTTGAAGTTATTTTTGTATGGTGGTGTCCATACCAAAGCTCAGAAAGACCTTGTTACTATCACAGACTCCTGTAATATTTTTAAAATTGTTTTGCCTTATCAGATTTCATTTTGTTAAGATTACTACTTTATCAGCTTAAAGGCAGTTTAAATTTAGAACTCAGGAGGTAACAAACACCAGACGTGAACGCCAACATGCATAAAGCCTTTCCAACAGATTTATTGTTTATAAAAATTAATCGGACCTAAAATGTTAAACACATTTTATTGAATAAAATAAAGAAATATGTTTATTTTTAAGAAAAAAAAGCTTCTATGTTTGAGAGGTTGAAAGTGTGTGCTTGCAATTATTCACTTAGTGGTATACTGCAATATATTGAAGGGTAAACTTTTTGATCAACTTCATTGTAAATAATTACAAACCAGTACATTGACATGGTGATGTAAAAGACATAAGCTGTCCATCAACATGCTATAATAGTTGGACAAGGTTCCTGATCTGTATTTATAGCTTTGGAGTAATATAGATTCTAGAGAGCAGATGAAAGACTTCCTCTTTGATACTTAAATAAACAAGTACTCTTAGATCTACTTAGTTTGTGTGTGAAGGTAAATGATGGTGTCAATCACCAACACTCTCCTCAGTGAGATTCATTGTTGGTTGTTGTCCTTGTTGGTGTTGCCCTTAGACAGCCCAGTTGATATTAGTTCCCGCTGAAACTGCAAGTACATGTACCTACATATTGAAAAGTGTGCATGATGGTGAATGGCAGTGATATATACCTCCTCTCTTGTTGGTGGTATCATAAGATTGGTAAGCCTTGTAAGTAGAATTTATTTTTCCATTTGCCATCGTTTATTGTACTAGCAGACTGCCCTATTGCATTATGTTCTTACCGAAACTTCACACACTAGACTATAGAGTTTTATGTTAATGGGACTTCTTAGGATTATTAATTGGGAAAATATGACACCAGAAACCACTTTGATTCTATCTTCAGTCATGTAGCAACCACGCACATTGGGTGCAGGCCAAAGATGCGTTTTCACCTCCCAGGAGAATCCTCCAATATCAGCTGCACTTAGCTGGTGTACGTGCAAAATCAAGTTTTATTGTAGTTGATCCAACATAAATCCATGAGTAAACACCTCCAAACATTCTCCCATACCTTCTCCTCTTATGCATTTCACCACATGGGCTTAAGCATAGAGGTTAGTGTTTGATGGCGTTTACTCATGGATTTATGATGGATCAACTACAATAAAACTTGATTTTACACGTACACCAGCTAAGTGCAGCTGATATTTGAGGATTCTTATGAAAATATGGTTTACACCAGGCAACTGAACCTATGTTGATTCCAAAAAGAGGCTACAGAACAGGGGAGCCTAGGCATAATCACATAAATGGAAGCATACATCTAATTTTCAGTAGGAATTCGGGACAAAATGTAGTTTTTCAAGGGTCTTGCTTACGTACAGTTAACACTTTCTATATGTTCCCTAGATCACATATTTTAGATCAATTTGTTTATATTTACCTAATTAAAAAGAAACAATCCCAGTACATACATCAATAGTATATAAATTCTTAAGGGGAAAAAAAGTTACCTCTAATCAGGTGTGTTAAATATGCAGATCAATCCTGTTTATTGCACAATTAATGTATTTGTATATGTTGGATAATAAAGCCAGGACTGTACTACTGCCCACTGCGGGATAGGTGTGGCTCTCATATATGGAAGACTTAGGATAATGTGTCTGTCCCTTCTCTTCCCTTGGCCATTTACAAAACAACATTTATTCTGCAAACAGTTCTAAGAATACAAGACAATACATATTATAATAAAACACAATACATATTGCTCCCATCCTCCTCCAAAGCATGCTCCTGATATTAAAGGCATACATTCTGGTCTCATCAAAGAAGGAGTGCTGCACACAGGTTTCCATGGGGTTACCTATATGTTATTTATTTATCTAAGTTTTAGTATGAGCACTACTATATATTTGATTTTTATTTGAGCTTAAAGTGTATTCACATTTGCAGTCAGATTTGAGAAAACACCTCTATATGTTTTTTTGTGTTCCTATTCACACGGCATAATGAAAAATAACTTTAAGAAACGTTCTTACCTTTTAGATGTTTTGTTGCAGCAGGCAAGATGGCTGATTCCTGGTTTTTCTCAATCCCTTCACAGTGATCTGTCTGAAATTTGAGGATTGTGTTTCCATGAAAAGCTTAATTTAAATACAATAGACAAGCCACCTCAAACCCCCTCACCCTCACAGCCAATCCTAACATTTCAAAGAAAGAAAAGCAAGAATAAGTTTTAACCCTTGAAACCCCAACCTAAGTGAAAGCAATTTAAACTGCAAGAAGCATGTTAATATTTTTTAGCTTATGCTATGTGAATGGCAACATGTAATACATATAAAATAGGTGTTATCCTTATTTTGCAGTGAAATGTGGAAATACACTTTAAAGAAGAATAAGGCACATTTACAAAGAGAGGTTACGTGCTGTGCCTCATAATTTTCAGATCCTAAATAATCTTACTAAATGATTATATTGACAGGAATGGATGTTTGTGTTAGGCAGCTGTACCTTTTATTACTGCACAGCTGTCTAACACAAACATCCATTGCTAGTATCTTCAATCTCACTGGTTTTGATCAAGTGACCCGGGCTTAGAGTCTGAGATCTTTAAAATTATAGTCAAAGCCCTGATAAGGGGGAAGGTTTGGCCACTGAAATGTGTTGGGTTCTTTCTGTTGTTTTTATGATATGAATGGATTAATAAAATATAGTTTGGACTCTTGAAACATGTGCTTGGTGCTATTTCTGGTTCAACAAAAGTGTGCAGGGTGACAAGGTTCACTACTATTTAACACAACTATACATACCCATTCAATAATTTTTTTATTAAAATATGCTTTTCTGAGGCATTTGGTAATAATCTACACATATTAGAAGATATTGTACCTTATTCCTGGGGAAACCTAGCAACATTATACTATCTATCTAAATATTTGTAATTTCATTAAGGTAGAAACTGATTTTTAATTTTTTTAATACACAAACTCAGGACAATGATGAAAAATGTAATCATATATAAAACAAAACAATAACAGTAGGGAACATTGGACAATCTTAATTGCCATTTATTATAAAAGTTTACATATTCCTGTAAAAGTTATGTTGCTCTCTTATCATGGAACAGAGATAAGTTGTTATCGTACAACAGTGCCAATGGTGAGTTATTTGAATATCACCCAACATGTACAGAAAAAAATAATGTCTGGTGTAAAAAAGATTAGTTTCTTGAAAGCATGGATGAGTGTTAAAAAAGCAGGCAAAGTATCCCAATCAAAACAGCTCAGTTGGCTAAAAGAACGTTTACTAATTCTATAAACCCCCAGCCGCCTCCCTAGCCCTCTTAGTCAGAGCTCACCATTACATTTAATTTTAGGTCTCCCTAATGTTGTGGATACTGCTAGTATTAAACACTTGACCCTTTCCAACTCTATCTAAAACTAAAAGAAAAGTTTTACCCAGATATTTATTTTAAGATGAAAAATTACTGTACATTTTACTATCTATGATTAGGTGACAACGTACCCTGATGTTTTAAAATAGCATCTCTGTGTTGTGACTTGCTAACTCAAGAGACTATATAAACAAATTACCAAATATATTTGTAAAAAATTCAATTTTAAAGCATTGCAGCCTTTATGGAAATAACACAAAATAGCATGAATTAGGTTACCCATGTTTACTAATAAGTGTTAATTATGTATTATTTTGCATAAAAACTGATGCAACAAATATAATAGTACAATAATGAACTTTTTGAAAACAGCAATCAATATTTCACACAAAAAATAGTTAAATTATGATTTCTCACCAGTTTATTATGTTGACTTGATGCAAAAAGATCACAATTTTAGAAGTTAATTCCTATTATCTTTCTCCTCTCATGCGTTATATTCTCAATTACACAAGGAAAATAGTGTGAGCCATCTTTAGTTTATATTCTAGTTGTTTTTCTCACATTATTTAATGTATCTCAAATAGGTGCTACATTCTATGTTTTTTTGGGTATAATTATAATTGCTGAGGCTTGTGGAATGACATTAGACTGCTAGACCAGAATATTTTAGGATTGCCTGACCTTTCGTACATCCAAATTTCAGTCTTTTTTTCTATCCTATAGTAAAATGCTTACAAATATAACTATTTCCTTATAGTTACACATATTGTCTTTTACAAGTTGGTGAGATGCAAGAGAATGTAGATTTAAAGTTATCATTCAAATGTATGTGGAGAATAAGTGTATATATATACATCTATATAGCTATATAGATATATAACCATTTTGTATGCATACACCAAAACTCAGGGATGTTCCTGTAAAATGCTTCTTAACTAGAATGCTGGCTAGGTCATCATAGCCCTTACAAAAATTTCTGTTTACAGTGTCTATGTTTTCCAACCCCAAAAAACAACAGTAGATATGCAACCTCTGAAGCTATGTCCTTATTTTTGAGTTTTAGAGCAAGACTGTGGTATACATGTATCAGCAATTGTCTTAGAACAGCAATCTACCATTCTTTGGTAGAGTCAATGTAATATCTATGAATTAAATTAGAAATATATTTGGTCACCCTAGTTGGAATTCTTCCCTTCAATGAGTTACTGTATTTGTGAATGCAAGTCCTGGCCTGCAAGAATGTTCAGAGCCACTCTTCTTTGTCTCTGTGACACAGGTATGATTTTTATGCCCATTAATTTGTGAAAAGGTGACTTACATATGCACAGGCTTTCCAATATGTTACAATGACAATGGATAACATTTCTTAAATGTACCCTTAACAGAGCGTCTTGATTTCTGGGGATTAAAGCAGCATTTAACAATCCAAAAATGTGAACCATAGCCATTTTATTCTAAAACCAATTCCATCCTGAAATCTGTAT